AAACCCGAAAGCCCTAAAGAGTTGGAGGGTTTTTCGAACAATTTGGGGGCTTCCTACAAGGTTTCTCATATTTTGTGGTGCGTAAGGTACCCCGAACTTTGGGAAAAAGCCCACTGTCTGGCTATTGTTTCAAGGCCTCTTGTGGCAAGTGTAACCTGCGCAGCTAGGTGTTGAGGTTCCTGTAACCTACTGTGAACTGCCTAAACCCTCAGCCTCATCCCCAACCCTGAAATCCATGAACCTACCAAACCCTACCCTAAACCTTGAACCCTACTTCGCCTTTGGTCGGTATTCTGGGCAATCAGGGAATTCTTCGAGCCTCGAGAAGGGGCTCCATGGTGAAAGGCTCCCATCTGGACAGCCTCACTTTCCCGCATAAGGGGAGGTTCCAGTGGAATTGCGCGGAACCACACAAAGCGCAAGTCACCAACTCGTAGGGCTGTAGGGCGGCATGGTGGAGAGGCACACTGGAATGTGTACCCGGAGCCGATAAGGTATATGAGCTATGAACAGAACTGAAGTGCTGCCATTTGTGAGGTGTGGAAGACGACTACCAGCTGTGCGACGCACTTGGCATGTCCAGCTGTGCCCGGCTGCCCGGAAAGGAGTGGGTGTATGTTTGGGCTATGTGTCTTAGGCCATAGCGACCATCACAATGCCCACGATACATTACGAGCGGACTAGCAAGAATGCCAACACAACACGGCCTAATCCCTGAAGAAGCCGAGTCTAACCTTCAGGGATGTCGAGTTAGAAGCCTTCGGAGCGTGGAGTGTGGCGCTTTCGGGATGTTCTGGTTGCTGACACCACAGCTGAAAGGTTCATGGGTACTTGGAAAGTGCAGTTAGTAGGATGTACTATTGCTATAGCTATCATAGCTACTTCTGGCCTTCTTGGGGGGAGTGGGGGGGGGGGGGTTCTTACAACACTTGCAATCCTACGTCTATCCACTCATGGACCTCCGGGCATGTTCAGATATCTTGGGCCTCAGAGTCTAGGGCTTTTGAAGTTGGAATTCTGATCCCTAAGCCCTACTTTGGGTTGAAGGTTCAGGGTTTGGGGCTTCGGGGGTCCTAAACCCTAAGCCCGAAACCCGAAACCTTAAACCCAGTCAGCATCCCTAAGCCCTGAGACGGGAGTCACTCCAGCGCTAGCACCGTGCCAGGACTCCCAGTGGTTCCTTCCAATAGCCCTATTTGCCAAGGAACCCGCAAACTCCAAACCCCTAATGCTAAAGCCACCCCCCGGACGCCCACAGCCCCTTTTTGCAAACCCAAGCGCAGGGCTTCCGAAAACCCGAAACCCCAAACCCCAAACCCTAAACCCGAAACCCTAAAACCCTAAAACCCTAAACCCCAAACCCCAAACCCTAAAAACCCCTAAACCCTCGTCCGGGCCGAGGTGCCCAACGTGGACTGCAGGCTGTCCAGCTGGGGCTCATGGCCTCAGCCTCATTTAGGGGGGGGGGGGGGGGGGGTTGCCGAAATTCGGGGTACTTTATTTGTGTCCTCTAAGGGTTAGGGCTTAGGGTTTAGGGTTTAGGGGTTTGGCGTAAGGGTTGAGGGTTTAGGGTTTGGGGGTAGGGGTTTGGGGTTGCTGGTTATAAAAGGGTGCCCTGAAGCGTTGGATTATAACATATGGGTCCAGGGTTCAGGGTAGCAGGTGTGCAGGTCTAAGGTCATGGTACTCAGCCTTCGGCCCCGGCTTGTTAGGGTGGCCGTTTCGTGTCCTTTCTGTGGTAGATGACTTGATCTATAGTAAGGCCTAACCGCAGCCTGCCTAAGCCCTAAACTCTGGACCTTGAACCCTAAGCCTTAAACCCGAAAGCCAAATCCCCTATATACAGGTCGAACAAAACACTAGTCTTCTTCCCTTGTGGTCCCTATACATGTTCCCTGTATGCTTACACTGTAACAACCCCCCCGCCCCCAGCCCTAAACCCTAAACCCTAAACCCTAAACCCTAAACCCTAAACCCTAAACCCTAAACCCTAAACCCTAAACCGTAAACCCTAAACCCTAAACCCTAAACCCTATTCTAACCATTAAGGCCCCTTGAGTATACAGGTCGGACTGCAGCTGCAAGTGCTTTGGAGTGCAAGAGCGCCAGCGCAATGCCTCGGGCCGAGCTGCATTGTGCCATTAGCAAGGGTAGGATGTGGAGTGTTTGGGGTTTAGGTTTTCGGGGCTGACCAAAAACAGCTGATTAGTTTTATTATTTTTTTTCGGGGGGGGGGGGGGGGGGGGGGGGGGTGTAGGGGTTTAGGAGAATTAAATGTTTTGCCGGCCCTCCGAAAGGGGCAACGTTCTGGAGGTACGAGATTCTAAGGATATTGAAAACACCCTTTCTCAAACCCCAGAGACCTTATGAAGCCCTCGATGCCCTGCAAGCCCTTATAAAGCTGCCAGCGCAGGGTGGTGGCCAAGCTCGGATAGCTGGCAATTCCTGGAGCCCTGTAAGGGTTTACCTTGCTCCCAAAACCTGCAACCCCTGAAAGCCCTATAAACTCCATCATCTGCCGAAGTCCTGAACCCTAAGCCCTGAATCCTAAACCCTAAACCCTTGTTGCTGAGGTTGCGCAGTTCGCTCGGGGAGCAGGCGAAAGCTGCCTCACGCAGTCGCTCAAGGAAGTGGGATGCTCAGGATAGGGTTTGTAGGGTTTAGGGTTTAGGGTTTAGGGTTGAAGCCCTACAGCATCAGTTTTTGGGGCGCAGTTGTAGGGTTGAACGTCATGGGTATCGTGTTTTTTGATGTCTAGCCGGCTTTGGTCTCTGCTTGTGGCCGTCCGAAATAAAATAGGGGTTGAGTATGGGGCCTCAACAGCATCTGCTGCAAAGGTAGAGGTAGAGGCTGCTTCAGCTCCAGGTGACCCTCGTTTCGGGTCTGTTGTCAACCTAAGCCTTCGGTTTAAATGCTCAATGCTCAATGCTCAATGCTCAATGCTCAATGCTCAATGCTCAATGCTCAATGCTCAATGCTCAATGCTCACTCAAGAACCGTCACCCTTGCTTGAGGGTTGAAACCATGGAACCCTGAACACTGAACCCTAAACCCTAAACCCTAAACCCGAAACCCTAAACCCTAAACCCTAAACCCTAAACAGCCAGACCCTAAACAGCCAGATGCCTCCAACCCCCTCGATCACGGCCTTGAATTGACGTCGGAAGCCCGGGAGTGACTTACAGTCCCCAAGACCCATGTAATACAGGAGCCGAAACACATGCCAAGATTATCCTGGTAAACCCTACATTTTCCTGCAAACTACACCCTAAGCCTGCAGGCAGCGTTTACGTGAATCCCAGCAATGCCAGGTTCGCGCCTGCAACCCTGGCGTGAACCAAGAAGCGCCTTACCAGTGCCCTGGGCGGTGCTTGGCTTGGGGTCATCAATCCTAACTTGAAGCTTAATGCTACCATTGCTGCTGTTGGTATTACACGCATGATTACTAGTACGATTATAGCGAATCTTGTTAGCATTTTGTGCAATGATTGTTGTGATTATACTGATTTCAACTTTTCCTGTTCTTGTTGTGATGTGACTTAGGTATAAAATAATCCTACAACGCACATGGGACTGCACCCCGAAGTCTGGAGGCAAGCCCCAAGAGCTAAGCCCCCTGGGGAGCCCCACAGACCTTGGACGTCGGGGGGATCTTCGGGGGGCGTGCCGCGCTAGAAGCCCAAGCCCGAAAATCTAAGACCTTATAAACCCGTAAACTTCCCTCGTGGGAGTTTAGGAGTTTTAGGGGTTTAGATTTTGCTGAACTGTCGTCCCCTTTCAGATACGGGCCTTTGAGGGATTCCCCCCCTGAACGGGGACTAGAAGTTAGAGAGCCAGATCCGTGCGACCCTGGCTATACTGCATACGGAGGCTCTCCTGAGCTAGGTCATGAGGTTTAGAGTTCGAAAAGCGTATGACGATGCTTCTGATTTGGTCCCAAATGCCCGCCCGCTTAAACTCCGACTCCCAACTGCGCATGAATATGGAAGCTGCTGAATAGGTGACTAAGTCTGCTAAGCTCTATTGTCCGAGTGTGCTCTTAACAACCAGTGAGGTTCGTAAAGTAGGTTTCCTCACGCCCTTTCGGCCCTAAGCCCGGATGGCGCCCTCCTCCCTGAACCTTGCGCCAGTTGCAAGCCGGACAATCCAAAGACCTGCGTCATTGCCAGCTGGGAGCAGTGGCCGTGCAGCCCAGATTTCGGACAGCTTGGGATCAGACCATGAAAAAGCCCTCGAAGTCAGCCCAAAGCCCATGAACAACCCCAAATGAAAGCCTCAATCGGCTTAGGGTTGAGGATTTAGGGTTGAGGGGTTGAGGGGGTTGAGGGGGTCTAGGGTTTAGGACTTCAACTCCGCATGCCCTTGCACTTTCCCTAGCTGGAGTCGGTGTCCTCAAACCCCCGAGGTCCGAATGCTCTCGAAGCTGCGGCGGCGGGCACAGGAGCCGCGTTCGCCATGCCGGGGGCCGCAGCTTCAGGGATTCTGCATCAGATTGAAAGGGTTTTACGAGGACTGGGAGGAGGCCCCCCTTTTTCCTTTTTTTAGGGTTGGGGTTCCCTTGATTATCCCCTTATAGGCTAGGGTTCATGAGGTTGTGGAGTGTGGGGTTGAGGGCGGTGAAAGTAGGCTTGGAAGGGTAAACTCACAAGGCTCAGCAATATCTCCCGTTCCGTGGAATGCGATGTTCCCATAGTACTGTCACACCCAACCCTGGCAAATCACCACAAAACCAAAACGATGGGAACCCTGCAGCCATGCAAATTCAGTCCTGATGCCAGACCTCAGCTGCCATTGAGACTCGGGTATGGCCGGTACAAGAGCGCTAACCGCTAACAGTCGAAGAAGCTGAAGTGACATAAGCCTGAAGACTCCTTTCATCTCCTCCACTCTGACCGTCGGGGAACCCTGCGCCCTTGGCCCCATCTAGCTGAACAGCTGAACCACGCAGAAGCACGTTGCAGCACCCAGATAGCAGTGGCACTTCTCCCTGCCAATGGCCCATGGCGCAGCTCTGGCCGAAGGAGCGGCTGGCCCTGAGCGCAGCAGAATGTGCCCAGATGCCGGCGATTGTGATTCACGACCACGACCCCGACGTGCAGCGCGCTGACCCCTCGGATCTTCGCCTGCAGAGCCGGGGTGTTAAGCGCCCCGCGCCCGTCGCCGCGGACCCGCTGCCTGAGGAGTCGGCCGCAGCCAACGGCCCAAACAAGGAAACGAAGGCAACCGGCTTCCAAGCCAAGGCCGTGGCGCGTCTTGTGGAGGCGCTGAAAGAGGGCGGAGAGCCAGGAGGCCCAGGAGCCGAGGGCGCCGAGGGCGCCGAGGGCGCCGAGGGCTCCGAGTTCACGGAGAGCACCCGACGCTTGGCCGAGGCACTGGCGGCAGCCTTTGTGCAGATTTGGGGCCTTTTGCCGGAGTCTGCGCAGCGGCTGCGGGCTCTCATGGCCGCCCTGCGCTCCAACGCTGGCTTTCGCGTGCTGGTGCGGCAGCGAGCCGCCGTCCTTGGCCCAGAGAAGCTCGCGATGGCGCTGGCCCGAGAGGACCCGCGGAGTTGGGCCGACGATCAGCTGAAGGCAAAGCGCGCCGAGTGGCAGCGCGAGAGCCTCGCCGAGGCGGCACCGCAGCAGGGGGGTGTGGAGCGCCCATGCCCAGAGTGTGGGGGCCGAGCCCTCTACGAAACAGGGGCCAGCCAGAATTTTAAGATATCGAAGTCCTTCTCGCACTACCGCTGCATTGAGCTGAACTGCGGCAAGGAGACGCACCTCACCGAATGAGGCTAGGCACTGCATGTGGCTAGAGCCACGGGAGAACCATGGGAGAGTCATGGAAGGAGCAAAAAAGGGCAGAAAACGCTGCTACATGTCACGCCCGACACCAGAGCTGGAGCATTGGATCACCCGTGGAGCACCCTCAATTCCGTAGTCATGGTCCCTTTTTTTTTGAGTGGGGGCCAGCCATCCGATCCTATGCTGTTGGTTGTCGGTCCTGTTCAGTGTGTCGACTGTTTACTTTCTTCAACTGCGTAGCAACGTGTGTAAAGCTCAGATCCTGAGCCCGGCTGCCAACGGTGGAGCGCGCGGTTGCCCAGTTGTGGGAGGGAGCCCTGAACACCCTGAAGGCTCAGGGCCCAGGCCTAAACCCGAACGGCTCATGGAGCAAAGGGGTATACAGACGGTTGGAACATACGGAAGGCTTATGAAACCTGGGTCTTCATAGGTTTCTTGCCCAAAGGACCTGAATAGTTTGAACTGAGTAGCAGAGAGCTCTGTGGCTGATTCTTGACGGCACTGAGTCATCGGCTTGGGCCTCGAAGGCGAGCGTGCACCGTGTCGGTCCTTCGGTTGGGTTCTTGGTTCAGAGTTGCAAGGGCCAGGATCTTGTTTCAAGCCCCCCAAGGCTTCGCAGTCGCGGCTTTTGTTCAGTGACCCACCGAGGGCATGCAACGACTCCCTGGCCATGATGGAGCCTTGTTCGGAGCAGCCGCGCCTTGACTCCAAATGGGTTAGGCTCTGAACCCTCCGGCTCTCCGCAGGGCCCAAAACAAGGGGCCCTGAATAATTAGAATAGGGTTTGGGTACGTTTGGGTGGTTGTTGTAGTAGGGTTATAAAGGGGCCATAAGGCAATAGTATTTATTCACCCCCTATATGATAAGCCCCGATGTTTCGGGTGAGTCGCTGCCCTCGACAAACCGCCTGGAACTTCAATCCGACTGGCAACAGAAGCCCGAATCCTTCCATCGAAACGCCAGCCCGGCATCACAGAATTTACAAGCTCAGCCATGAATTAAGCCCTCCCTCCCTGAGCACATGGTCTGACACCAGCTGCGGTTAGGTGATTAGATCCCTATGCAAGACCTCCAAGCAGCGCCCCTTCTTGTGGGGCTCACTGGTTCTGAGGTGCGGCCATGAGGTGTGCGTCGACTGTCTGTGGGAGGCCGGCTGCGAGGATGCGTTGAGAGCTTCTGCTGGGCCAGCATGCAGGCCACAAATCCTCAATCCTCAGCCCTCTGAGCCCAAAATAGCCCACATGTTAGGAAACCCTGAACCGCATGAACCCATGAGCCCGAACCCGGTTCCCCCACCCCACCCCACCTCCCCACCCCTGACAGGCGTGGTCCGAGTGGGGCGCCTGCACACAGCCGGGGTCTCGGAACCCCCGACCCCCCCACTCCCCCCTTCGTGCCTGCAGAGAATCGCGCCGGGTATCCTTGCAGTGCGGCCAAGTCTTTTCACCTACCGGGCTTAATTACCCCAAACCTCCTAAGTCCTTAAAATCCAGAGGCCCGACCGCCCTGAAATTTAAACCCGAAAACCCTTAAACACCCCCCCCCCCTTTCCGAAGGCCTCAAACTCCCTAAGCCTCGTGGCTTCCTGTGATCCCGGGACGTTCCTGGATTTTCAACCGAAGGTGCGGCAACCAGCGCTTCAGACACCGAACCCTGGCAGAGAAGCTTCAGATTTTCGGTGGTTTCAAGTTTAGGGTTTAGGGTTTTGGGTTTCTGGTTTAGGGTTTAGGGCTTAAGGTTTAGGGTTTAGGGTTTAGGGCTTAGGGTTGAAATTCCCGCTCAGGGGGATGGAGGGTTAGAGGCTTCTCTTCTCATTCAGAAAGTTGCAGCGTTTGGGTTGGCAAGTCATACAGGGTGATCACAGGCTCTGGGAGTTAACCGAGGTTGCAGGATTTGGGTTCAGAGTAGGGTTGAACCCCCAAAATCAATCAATGGGGGTGTCAGTGAGCCGGGGCGTATGGAAGCCCGAAAAAACCCTTGCAATGAGCGACATCTTCTGCCCCAAAGCCATCTACCTCTCCGCTAGATGTCACATCACCCTAGTCCGCATCGGATCAAGGCAACATCGCCCGGGTGCCCAACCACTGCGGCAAGCGAGCGCCCAAGTGGTACTTGTAGCTTTTACTGAGAGTCTTGGAGGTTCAAAGGTACTCAAAAGTAGGGAGCATACCAAATGTCACATTGTTACATAGTTTTCCTCCAAACCCTGTAAACCCTAAACCCTGTAAACCCTAAACCCTGAACCCTAAACATGACTACTCATGAACCTCCACGTGGCGTCGACGGCCCCAAAAAGGCTGATCATTGGGAGGCTTTGGATCCAAAAGCCCCAAGCCTTGACCCTATAAAGTCGTTTTGTCAACCCTCTCAAACCCTAAAACCCCTGGAAGGGGCGAAGAGGGGGGGATCCTTGTTTTTGCAGCCACATGCCACAAGAGTGAGAATCGCAAAACGCGCCCCCTTAAACCTTTTGGTGTAGGCTTCAGGGGGGAGGTTTCGGGTTTAGTTTTGTCCGGTTTCACCTTCTCGGCTCTTGGTGAGTATGCATGTTTCGTGTCCTTCAGTCCATCATCTGGAGCCTTACGTCTAGAACCACGAGCTCTAGCTACTGCCTTGCATAAGCGGCCCTTCTCTGGCCATCTTTATGGTGCAGGAGCATACCCTAAACCCTAAACCCTAAACCCTAAACCCTAAACCCTAAACCCTAAACGCTAAACCCTAAACCCTAAACCCTAAACCCCAAAGAGAACCTTAGTTTTTGACCACAGCAGATCAGACTTGCCCGAGGCCTTGCGACGCCAAAGCGGCGAAGGAGCTGGGCGAGTGTGAAAGCCGGGGCCGAAGAGTCAGGTGGGTGGCTGTCAAAATTATGGCCCCTTTTTGGATCCCTATTATAATGCGGCACCTAAAATTTAGGGTTTAGGGTACCCCGAAAGGAAAGGGATCATAATTTTGACAACCACCCAGGGTTTTTTTGGGGCTTTTGATTCCATCAAGACTGTCGAATGTCCCATGAGAAGTGGGCCTTGAAGAGTTGCAAGGATCTAGCCGACAACGACGGCCCTACACAATGAACCAGTTGAAAGTTGAAGAAACACTTCGTAGAAAATGCGGGGGTTTAATGGAAAGGGAAAGCATCCCCATTTCAACGACTGAGCTTCAGGGGGTTGAGGATAACTAGTTATGTCTTGTGCCATGTGTCTGGGTATAAGTCTACTCCCCGTGCACCCTGCTTTAAAGTAAAAATCTGCAGGACATTATATCTGGAAACTGAGAAATCAGTGGGGATAGGCTATAGGCATCAACCTTCTCGGTGCTTTCCAGCATTTCCCATGAACATTTAGCTTTTTGCGCAGTAGATGTCTCCACATATATACATATATCTCTCTCGCTCGCTCTCTCTCTCTCTCTCTCTCGCGCTCTGCTCTCTCGCTCTCTCTCTCTCTCTCTCTCTCTCTCTCTCTCTCTCTCTGTTTACAGTGCATATATATATATACAGAATGTACATATATATATATATTTATTTATTTATGTATCTATTTATTTGTACATGATGTACATCTATAGAGAAGAAGGCCATTGCGACAAGAAGTACTACTGCGTGTGGCCGGCTCCTCGAGCTTTTGGCTCGTGCAAGGGGGGCGGCTTGGGGGTTTCGGGGCTTCACCAAGAGCCTCCAAAGCTGTAGGTGGGGAACATCGTATACTAACAGTCCTTAGAAGGCACTATAATAGGGGGGGTGCTAGAATCCCTATTAAGGACTGTTAGTATAAGGGGGAACATCCCAAGCTTCAGGGTTTAGTCATTTAGGTCTGGGTGTTTTGTGTTTTCCAGGAAAGAACGAGAGGGCTTTTGGGATGCTTGAGTTCAGTTCTTTACCTCTTTGGGTTAACAGGGACAGGCTTGTTGTTACTATGGTACTATGGACAGTTGCCTGAACCCTATACCCTAACGCCTGAAACCCTAAGAACCCTTGGTTCCCGATTTTTGGTTTAGGCTGCGTAAAGCAAAACGGAATTTACTGCGACATGCTGGCATATACTGACTGCGACATGCTGTCATATACTGAAGTATACCCAAGAATTCTGAAATATGAGGCAATATGGTACAATGTAGGGCATGATATCCAAAACCCTGAACCCTCAAGCTTAAACCTTTAACCTGAGGTCAGACTGGGAGCGCATGGGAAGCTGCTCAAGGACATGCGGGCACGGACCTCTTCCGGGGGGCTGTGAAGCCCTAAGCCCCCAAAAGCTCAAAACCCTACTAGTAAAACCCGAAAGAATACCGAACCCTAAACCCGAAACCCAAACCCTAAACCTTAACCCCTAAACCCTAAACCCTAAACCCTAGACCCTAACCCGCAGCTACAGAGAGCGTAGAGTTAGGGGCTCAAGTCTGTAGGTTTGCAAGGTACCGCTGTGAGGAGGAGGGAGGTTGAGGATTTAGGGACGTGTGGCGCAGGGCTTAGGGAATAGGAGTGGGAGGAGGGGCTCCGGGGTCGCAGCTCCAGGCTTAAGGTTTTTTTTTTTTACTTGGGGTTTAGGGTTTAGGGTGGGTTTAGGGTTTAGGGCTTAGGGTTTAGGGTTCAGGGTTTAGGGTTTAGGGTTCAGGGTTCAGGGTTTAGGGTTTAGGGTTCAGGTTTAGTTTTGATTTTTGCGGGGCCCCATCCCCCAGCGCCCAAAGGTCGGGTACTCGTATGCGACAGCGGCAGCTAACCTTGGAGCCGGACAAGCCCTACGAGGCTTCCGTGAGGGGTGTGGCGGCCACCCTGCGGGCAGATCAGAAGAACAACCCCAAAAACACCCATCAAATCCCACCGGCACCTTCAAGCGCGGCATCTTCTAGGGTTTGGGGTTTGGGGTTTGAGGGTATAGGGGTTCAAGAACTCCCAACAAGTCTGCAGCCCTAAGGCCTCAGGCAGTCAACACCTAAACATCCCTCTGTGACATGCACTTTGAAATGGGCAGTGCCCCTCAGGCAACCCTGAACCCCAAAGAGGGTGTTGAGGGTCCCCAGGCGAAAGGCATGCTTGGAATCCTCTTCAGCTGTTTTTCGGGGATGTAGGCGGGGTTTCGGGATTGCCTAAAGCTCCCGAATCTCTGAACCCCAAACCCTGGGGAGGTACGTGGTGCAGGGCTTCCCTACTTAAATCACCCGTCACCTCCAAAAAGCCCTGAAGCTTCACAAGCCCACTAAACCCTAGGCCCTAGACCCTAAGCCAGACAGGATCGGCTTTTCTTCGAGACGACTGTGGACAGCTCCTGCAGTGGCTCGCAGATTGTCACGGAGGCCCTACCCATGAAGGATGGCAGTGCTGAGTTTGAGGATTGTGAAGCAGCTGAACCAGCACACCCTCCACACCTTCCAAAACCAGAAGGGGGTTTCGGTACATCATCATCACCTCTCAAGTGATACTGTCACAGCTCGCTAAGTGTCTCCCGCAGGGCGTGTAGACATTGGCTGGAAGTGGTAGCAGCTCAAGCCCCCTGCTAGTGTTGCAGAGCCATACTGAGACCTGGAGGGATCTTTTTGGCCTCAAAGAATTCCTTAGAAAGATCCTCTGATTGGCACGACATCTGGACGGGTCTGTCATGCACATGGCAGCCATAAACTCACAAGGCCCCAACTCCATAAGCAGGCCCTCAACACCCCCAAAGCCTTGAGTTTCCTTAAGCCCCTTATCCTTCAAGCCACCAAAAACCCTCCTTAAAGCTCCCGTAAACCCCTAAACCCTACAAGCCCTCCCCAACCCCCCCCTGCCCCCCCAAACTTCCCACCCGTGCAGACCTGCGAGCTTCCCGGCTGCGAAGCCTGCATTCCGGAGGAATCGCACAGCACAGGGTGTAGGGTTTAGGTCTTAGGGTTTAGGGTTTAGGGTTTAGGGTTAGGGTTTAGGGTTTAGGGTTTAGGGTTTAGGGTTTAGGGATTTAGGGTTTAGGTTTAGGGTTTGGGAGTGTAGAGCCCAAAGGCCCCGCAACCTGAAACCCTAAAGCCAGCCAAAGAGGATGTCCAGAAGCCCCCCAGTTCATGCGAAGGAGCTTGTTTCACCCTCTTTTCGGAAGCCCCCCCATGTGTCAATCCTCATGGGTTCTCACCTCCTACACCCTGAACATTCAGGTAGTCCTACACCCCAAACAGGATTGCATCTTCAACGAGTGGTCTGAGTGGTCCTCGCCAACGCCCTGGCCTTAAGTGGCTTCTGACGGGGCCCGAAGCCTGAACTGTTTAGGGCTAACCCGAACAGCCCTATAGACCCTACACTTACGGTTAAATTGTTGAAGAGCTGCCTCAGACTGAAATCGTAGCTGCCTAGTCTTCTGGAGCAACGACCTATAGCCCCACTCTCTCAACTCGACGAAAACGCAAAGGACCCTCAAAACTAGCTATCTGGAGGGTTGATCTACATTCTGAGGCCCCTGGCGGTTGCCCCATAATGTGTATTTCTTGCCGGGTACCATGCAGAGCCTAGAACTTAGACCTGCACCTCATGCTGAACTTGCGCAGATTTTTTGCGAGGGCTTGCGGGGTTGAACCCACTTCATGTGTAATTATAGTAATGAGTTCTCCTCACAATATGAGTGATGGTGTTCACTTCATTCACTTTGCTCACTCGTTTATAATATAGTATCCGCACGTGAAAAAGCGATATTAAATACAACCGCGCTCACTACGTTCTTTGCGTAATACTGCACTTAATGCGGTTATTGGTGGTTGAACGAAGTGATATCAGATATCACTTGACCTTGAATCCCAGGGTCTAATATTAAGTCAACCAGCGAATCACAGGGTCCGGGGGTGATTCCAAGGTGTTGGGTTCTTCCTGCCGGTCATTCAGTGACGGTTTCTAAGTCAATAAGCCCTGGAAAGGTAGGTCGTGAACTGTGAGGAAGATTCCAAGGGAGATAGAGGTTAGACCCGAAGACCTAACCCCAAAGCCGTGTGAGCCCGAGACTCTTGCAAAACCAGACCGAAATTTCTACAAACCCTCTAATGACCATGTCCACAAACCTTCTAACCCACTATATCTCCCTCGAAAGGAGTCCCAAGCAAGACACATGATTTCCGGAAGTCCTCTACCCTAAGCCCTGGCCCCTAATCTTCGAGAATTCCAGGTGCACACAGCTCTGCGAGCGGCACCGCACCGTGAACCAGGACCGGATGCTTTGCCCTAAACCCTAAACCCTAAACCCTAAACCCTAAACCCTAAACCCTAAACCCTAAACCCTAAACCCTAAACCCTAAACCCTAAACCCTAAACCCTGGGGAGGGGGGGGTGGGGATGGTGGAGACTTGTAGGATGCCGCAGAGCCAGGCGGGGCGGACAACAAGAGACCAAGAAATTCTTCTTCAACCCTCAAGGGCCGCCTACACCAAGCCATCCAAAAACCCTGCACACCTGAAAGCTTTAAGCAATCACCAGTCCCGGAAAGTTGGGGTGCTCAGGGATTTTGGCTTCGTGTGTATACTGGGTTTTCGGGTTCTGGGATGTTTTTGGTATTTTCGAGTTTTAGGCTTGTGTGGCAAACCCTAAAGCCCATAGCCCTGTAAGCAATTTAAGGGGGAAGTTGGGTGGCTTCTGAGCGAGGAAAGCAGCTGCGGCGGAAAGCTGTGCCAAGGACCACTTTTGGAGACGAAGAGGCTCTCGGGTGTTATGATTACTAACAAGAATAAAGAATACTAATATACGAATTATGTTTGTTTTTGTTTGCTCTGTTTGCTTCTTTTTCGTTTTGTTCGAGGAGGGGGGTGTTTTACAATAGGGGCTCTTGTCGATAGCTGTCAGGGTTTCGGGGTGGGGGTTCTGGCTTGTCAGGTTTTGCCCACAACGCACCCCACCCTTTTTTCTTGTGACACCGCGGCAACATGGTATGTTGCCACCAGGCTCCCAGATCTGCAAGACAAGCCTTAGAAACCGAACTGCCGGGCCGGATCACAGCACAAGCAAGGCGTCTATCTCAAGCTCGAAGCCCCAGTACCCTCGCACACAAAGCCGCGAGCAACGAAGCCGGTGCGACCCTAGAAGCACTCAAGCCCGAATCCTATAACCACCCCAAGACCCTCACGGCTGATGTGGCGGTGCAGACCCTACAACCACCACAGGCTCTAAAACCCTAGACCCGGGACCCGAGACCCTACCCCAAACCCGCTGCCCACATAACAGGTGCCCACACCACTGCAACCAGCCTGTGGACTGCCTCTTTGGAGATTGGAGCTCCTGGGACCTCCTTGGCAAGGGTTTCGGGCTTCAGGGCTTCAGGGCTTCAGGGTTCTTTGGCTTTCTTTTGGGGGGGTTTAGGGGGAATGGTTCCTCCTCTGAGCGGTGGGAGGTGCGAGGCTGCTTTGGCAAGTTGAGGGAGTATTGCGGGAACCGTTGGGGGTTTAGGTGAATAAGGCTTCCCGGTCGCCCAGTCTCGGTATCCACGCCCATGAACAAGCAAGTTCATGAGTTCATAGGCTCGTGTGGCCCGCGCCAGGCGATTGGAGGGGCGAGTGCTTGGGAGCACAGGACCAGAGGCCCGGAGACAGAGCCTCAACTTAAGCCCCAAACCCTAAACCCGGGAGAGGCGACCGATTTCGATGGCTAAGTTTGGGCCACCCTCGGCCTCGGGCCCTTCCACGCGCTTTGGGCTTAGGGGTTTTTGGGGGATGAGTCAGGAGCCTTCCAAGGACCCTCAATTGAAGCCCTCCTCGCCCCATCAATCCTACAAGCCCTATAAACCCCCTAAACTGGGTATAAGCCGCCCTATGACAGGGAAAGTTCCCCCTTATACCAACAGTCCTTAATAGGGATAATAGTACCTCCTATTATCATCCCTATTAAGGACTTTATTCAAAGGGGGGAACATCCAGCCTATGAACCCTATAAGCCCTCTATAAGCACTTTCCGCCCTATTCAGCCCTATAAACCCTGTAAAACCTCATGAACCCTATAAGCTCTATGAACCCGATAAGCCCTATACCTTATAAGCCCTATACGCCCTATAACTCCCCATAAGCCTTATAAGCCCTAAAAAACCCTATGAACCTTATAAACCCCATAAGCTCTTTGAACCCTACAAGCCCTAAGCCCTGTAAGCCGGCGGCACACTGAAGAGCCCCCAGCCGACGTTGGCTCCCAGAAGCCCAAGAACTGTCCGGTCGGGGCTCGATTTTTTTGAGCTGGTACCCCAACCTCCCTAGAATTACACCCTACACCATGAACCCTCAACCCTACACACCCCAAACTGTAAACCCTAAACCCTCAACCCTCAACCACCGCAGTAGCTTTTCAGGGCTTCAAGGCTGTGAGGCGCGGGGCTGTTGGAGCTTTCAGAGAGGCGCTCGGAAGTCTCGGAAGCGGATTTTCGAGTTCAGGGTCCTCGAAGGTACATGCTCCGCGCCATTGAGCGGCCGGCGGTGAATGGCGGCGCTCAGTGTGAGGGAGTCGGGGCCTACAACCGACCACCCTGAACCCAAAACCCTGAGCCCTAGAAACCCTTTGAATCCTACAAGCCCTGAGGGTTTAGGGTTTAGGGTTTCGAGTTTAGGGTTTAGGGTTTATGGTTTAGGGTTCAGGGTTAGGTGTATAGGGCTTAGGGCTTAGGGTTTAGGGTTTAGGGAGTACAGGCTTTAGGGAGGTTGGCCCCAGATCTCGTGCAGACCTCCAACGCTGCTTGAGGGCCTTGGAGCTTATGCTTTCTGGTCGCTGAGGACTTGGGCTCCAGTTTATGTGGGGTTCTATGCAACTTCCAACTACCCATAAATCATGAACAGCTGGAGCTAAGGTCTTGGAGACCCAAGCTCTACGCCGGCCCCCTCCAAAAACATAGAGAAGTCTGCATGGTACGACGTTATCCGTACTGCCGCGCTTTGAGTAGCGAGTAAATGGTGACCCTACCATGGCAGCGAGGCAAGATCTTGCAGCAGCCACCGCCAAACCCGAAAACTCTAGGGCAGCCATGTGCAACCTGGAGGCTAGCAACCCCTAAGCCTTAAACCCAAACCCCAATCCCAATGGAGATGCTCCATGGCCTCCGTCACAGACCCCAAACGTGCCCTGAGGCCACAAAGAAGACCTCGCCCTGCGGCGTGGATCACCAAGACTGCAAGGCGGGGAGTAGTGGATTCGTGCTGTTCAGGGTCTAGGTTTCTCTCCACGATGTTGGGACGACTTGTTCGGAGACTCGTATGTTCATAAAAGCGCTCGTAGACAATCGTGATATTTGCAGGGGCGGTTCAAGTTGAAGGACTAGATTTAAGGTCTAGTAGGCTAGGGTCTTCGGGAGGCCCTGGTTCGGGGACAAGTTCTGAAGATGGAGGGAGATGCTTCGGCCGTTTTCGGAGCTTACGCTGCGGTTGCTTAGACAACGACCATGCAAGAGGAGGGTTTATCAAGCCCGAAACCCTAGTTCAACCCTGAGCCCGACTCCAGGGTCTTGCAACAACTACGCCTGAAGCACCCTCGGTTTCCTTGATCCTACCGATGCCAAGTAAGACTGGAAGCAGCTTAGTCTTGCGACTTGCAACATGGGGGTCTACGACACTAGGGGTACCTTATCGGGGTCCTGATTTTATGGGAATCCTTCTATTTGGGGGGTCTATATTGTCGTAAACCCACACATGCTCTTCTTCGCAGATCGGCTTTTGGGCGGGGTGGTCGGCTTGCACAGCCTCCTGCGATGGTGGCGTCATGACGAGGCCGATAGGCAGTTCTCTTTGGGATCCTGTTTTATGCGTGTTTAGGGGTTCTAAAGGGGGGGGTCCAGGTTAGCGCAACCTACCCTCTTGTGGGCCCGAGAGGGCCAGAATTTCGCATTGAGTGTGCACTCTGTAAGCAGGCCGCAAGCGCATCCTGCAGGACCCCCGCAGCTTTCGAACAAATCCCAGACCTTCAAGAATGTTCACATCCTCGGGTTTAGGGTTTAGAGTATAGGGTTTAGGGCTTACGTAGGGCTTAGGGCGTAGTAATTTAGGGTTTCAGGTTTAGGGTTTAGCCTAAACGCTCCACTCGCACCCGGCGCAGGTCCCGCGAGATAGACAAGCCGGCACGAGGCAACCTGTGGTAGGGTTTAGGGTTCAGGGTTCAGGGTTTAGGGTTTAGGGTTTAGGGTTCAGCATCTCAAAGTTCAAGCATTCACTAGGCTGGCAGCTTTTCAAGCGCCCGAAAAGTACCCACCCACCCAGAGAATCCCATACCATTAAGATAATAAAAGTTTCACACGCAACCCAAATTCTTAACCCTACGCTCTCGTCCCTGAACCTTCAACCACCGTAGAACCCTCAGCCCTGAACCCTTGAACCCTAAATTTTAGGGCTCCTCAACCCTCATGCCAGCCAGTGGCTTTGCAAATGACCCAAAGAAGGGGGGCGGAGGGGGGGGGGAGGGGGGGGGGCAGGGGGGGGGGGGCAGGGGGGGGGGGCGGGGCGGGGGGGGGGGGCAGGGGGGGGGGGGGGGGGGGGGGGGCAGGGGGGGGGGGGGGCGGGGGGGGGGGGCAGCAGGGGGGGGGGCAGGGGGGGGCCAAGGACCTTGCCCACTGATTTTCGGACCTTGCCCGCTAAATTTCGGACCTTGCCCGCTAATTTTCGGACCTTGCCCGCTAATTTTCGGACCTTGCCCGCTAATTTTCGGACCTTGCCCGCTAATTTTCGGACCTTGCCCGCTAATTTTCGGACCTTGCCCGCTAATTTTCGGACCTTGCCCGCTAATTTTCGGACCTTGCCCGCTAATTTTCGGGCCTTTCCCGGGCCGAAAATTAGCGGGCAAGGTCCGAAAATTAGCGGGCAAGGTCCGAAAATTAGGTCGTGGGTCAGCGGGCAAGGTCCGAAAATTAGTGGGCAAGGTCGTGGGGCAGCCAATGGACCTTGCCCACTGATTTTCGGACCTTGCCCGCTGATTTTCGGACCTTGCCCGCTAATTTTCGGACCTTGCCCGCTAATTTTCGGACCTTGCCCGCTAATTTTCGGACCTTGCCCGCTAATTTTCGGACCTTGCCCACTAATTTTCGGACCTTGCCCGCAAAGCCATTAACATTTATATTATATATGAAAGAGTGGTTTAGGGTCCTGTGGTTCTTGTTGGGCTTGAGGTAGGGCCCATGGGACTGACAGGAGTTGCAGGGGTTGTGGGTTTACAGGGCTTGTTTGGGGGGGGGGGGGGGGGGGGGGTATAATAGGGTTTATCGGATTCATGGGGTGTACGGGGCTCATGTGGTGTAGGACTTGGGGCTTCGGCGTTCTTGTGGTTGAGGAGGGTCTACCAGACTCCGAGCAGAGGTCTAGGCTTAGAGTTTGCAGGGTTTAGGGAAGTTTAGGGATTACCGGGTTGGGATTGCGCTCGAACCTTGAAACATATGTCGTCCCAAACTCAAAAGCCCTGAGCCCCAACAGAGCCCCAAACCCTGAACCATCTACAATCACAAGACTGGCACTGCATAACTAGACTCCCTCCTCCGGGCCAGCAGCCGATCCGCTGACGTTCTACCCTCAAACTGCACACTGACTGCAGCCAGTCTGAGAACCCCCAAAATGGCCTCTATAAAGCCTCCTGAACCCGAAAGCCCCTAAACCCTAAACCCTAAACCCTAAACCCTAAACCCTAAACCCCTAACCCTTAAACCCTAAACCCTCAACCCCCCTCAACCCTAACCGCAACACCCTAAGCCAAGCTCCGATCCAGGAGGGGGCATGCCTTGCCACGACTGGCTCTCCGAAGCCGTGGAGTGCAACGTGCTGCCCGCGGACGTCTTGAAAGGTTGTTGTTTTTGGGGCAGCTTCTGGCTTTACAGGGTTTAGGGTTTATGGTTTAGGGTTTAGGGTTTATGGTTCAGAGTTGCAGGGCCTAGGGTTTAGGGTTTAGGGTTGCAGGGCCATGAGTGTATGGCTAAATGACGCTGAACCCTAGACCCAAGCGGGCCTTACGCACGAAGCACGTACCCCAAAGCTGTCCAGGATGTTGTGGCAGGTTGCATTGCGCATGGCGCAGCGAATCGTTTTTCTGGGCTGTAGGATGATCTGATCACCCTCAGCTACTTAGTTTTGGTCTGCAATCGACACGGCCTGCGAATTTCTACTCGCACCTTGTTGCACAAGGGTCACCACAGTAGAGTTCATCACAACGCAGACACGCTGCACTCTTCTCACTAGATTCAGGTTCAACTAGACGAGCAAGGGCGCAAAAGCCCTGTAATCGACCAGAAAAACCAGAGCACATGACTTGTCACAGTCCTACGGTTTCGCCACTTGCCAAACGTTAGAAAACCATAGGTCAGAAATCCATAGGTTCTTGAAGGATATGATGATATTACGTGTAGACAACAACACGCCCATCTTGGGTTCAAGAGTATCCTATGTCGGCATATTGCTTTTGGAGGGTGTAGCAGGCCCAACCTGCGAAAAGCGCCATGGAGTCGAGCCAGCTTGAGCAATGGACGCGCCAGATTGCCGTACAAGTGCTGCAGGCGAGAATTCTTAGGGTTTAGGGTTTGGGGAGTTTGGGGTTTATGGACGATGATGATTCTGATTACTAAAATGCCCTACATTCACTACACCCTCAACCCTATGACCGAACACTCAAGTTCAATTTTGATGGTGTCCCACTTTCGAGGTTAGTGTAATGCGGAGTCCCTCACCTTGGACCCCCGCCACTCGCCCCTCCCCCACCACTCCAGCTTCCGTTGCCGACTTCACCGGAGGTGTTTTTGGAGAATTCGTCGCAGGAGTCGGTTCAAGGCTTCTACACCTATGCTCTCCGCAATCCATTGCCGGACGGCACAAATCTCAGCGAGTGGATGCGGGAGCAAGACACTTGCCTCTGCCAGCCCGTCTGGTTCTTAGTAGGGAGTTTGACAAGGAACCCACGGTTTAAGGTTTAGGGTTTAGGAATTTAGTAGTTTAGGAACCTAGGGTCCTAGGGCTCCTTCAGGGGGTCCTAGGGCTCGGCTTCCCTGAATCTGCAAGGCGAACCCCTAACAGTTCAGGGGTTTACGGATGTGGGGGTTAAGGGTTTAGGGTTCACGGTTTGGGGGTGCAGGGCTTTCGTTGCAACTCTCGAAGGATGTTTTCAAGCAGCGCGTGCTGCTGGCCTTCGCGCAGTGGACCGTCGCTAAAGCGAGAGAGTTGGACAACCACGTGCCTCTGCAGGGCAACATGCCGAACGTCCACTGCAGCACATCCCTCTCCAACTATGTCAACCAAGAGGCAGGGGTGATCCTTGGACGCATCAAAGGGCGCCGTAGTATTGTACCGTTGTACCTTCATGTTTCCAAGACCAAGGAGCGCAGACGCCGCCATCAGCGAGTTCATCTACCACATTGCAGTTCGCTTGCTCGGTCCAGATGCTGCTTGCTTCGCAAACGCTCTGGGGGGCTACTTTGCCCAGCGTCACTCAGATGGCAGCAATCCCCTGTCCGAGTACCCGGTCTTGATACTGCGTCTTGGGTGCACGGAACTTAGGGAGTTTAGGGCTTGAGAACGAAGCCCGCATCCCCAAAACCTGAAATCGACTGATACCGCCGCCAAAGCCCTTCAAAAGGTCTGACATGGTCAAGTACCTGGAGGAAATTCAGGCGAAGGTACTGAAGGTGGCGGGGGAGTTGTCCACAACGAGTGCAACTCGGCTCACGACTTGAATCCGGATATTGAAGAAAGCCATGTAGAACACCAGATCAGCCGTGAGACGATGCGATATAGGGGTCGGAATTTCTTATGGAATTCCGTAGTATTCCCCTATCGTCCCTACATGAATGTACCATAATAACCCCTCAAAACCCTGTTCTAATTCTTTCGGCCCCCCACATTACTTGAGGAGCTTGCCGGGAGCCTCCTCATGCAATTCTGCCGCTATTTTACGGTCATCATGACCTGCCAGAACGCGTGGCAGTTCCGGCTACAGGCGCATGAGAATGCAGACGCCGGCTTCCAGCAGTCCAGCTTTCGCATCATCCTCATTGACTCCTGTGGAAGCTTAATGCGCCTTGGCGTGAATTCAAGCTGCTTTGCCAGCTTTGCATTGGCACAACTGAATGTGACTCACAGCAAGAGCCTTTGCTGTCAATGGCACCCTAACACAAAGGAGCATGCTCCAGCACATCGAGACGGCCTACTACAGCAACGGCAACTTCACGGTGGCCGTGGATTTTGAGGGCGTGGACTTGTGTCGTACAGGCGAGCTATGCCTGCTCCAGATTACGTGCAGTGACGATCCGACGCTCGTGCGACCTGAGCTCGAAGTTACTTAGGGGCTTTCGGTTAAGGGTTTAGGGCTTAGGGTTCGGGATTTCTGGGCTTTAGGCGGTGGGTCTGTATACGGTTACAAGGGCTCCGAAGCCCAAGTTCATGGGAGCCCAAGTTCATGGGCTCATGCTGGTGGAGGTATGTGAAAATATTTATTTTCAGGGAATCCTACTATTTGGGGGTCTAGACTAGGGGTCCCCTGTTGTCGTAAAGACCCAGGTATGTCCTGGACGTGCATATCTTGGGCCAGAAAGCCTTTCTTCTCGACACACCGAGAGGGATGTCCATGAAGACCTTGCTCGAGGATCAGCGCCTCGGCATCCTCGAGCGGGCTGGTGCATCGGGTACATTTTTTCAACCCTAAACCCGAAAACTCCCGAAACCTAAACCAGAAATCGGTGGGGGGGGGGGACAGCCTTTGCGCAGTTACATGGCAGAATCTCTTGCTGCTGTTCAGGGTTTTTCAGCTTCAATGCCCGGGCTTGGGAGCAGGAGCTCCTGCCCATTTCCTTGCAAAGGCGCTGTATGAAGCTCTGGTTCGATCCCCGAAACGACGTCGACGCTCTGTATCACCAGCTGCTTGGGCTCAGAAGACAGCGGGAATTATCTGTTGATTCTGGTTTCTTTATCTTCTTTACTTCTTTCCGTTTGTGTCGTGTCTGTCTTTCTTTCATTTCTCTTGTTTCTTTTTTTTTGAAACGTTTCTTTCCTTCTTTCTTTCCATGTGTTTCCCTTTCTTCCTTTGCTTCCTATTCTTACTTTTTTCCTTGCCTTCTGCATCTTCCTTTCCTTCCTTTACTTCCTTTCATTTCTTCCCTTTCTTCCCTTTCCTTCTTTTCCTTCTTTTCGGGGATTTTCTTGATTTCCTTCTTTCCTTCTTCTTGCTGCTTCCTGCTTTCCTTCCTTCCATTCCCGCCCGTTCCCTTCCGTTCCCTTCCTTTCCCTTTCGTTCCCTTCCGTTCCTTCTTTCTTTCTTTTTGTTTTCTCTCTCGCTCTCGCTCTCGCTCTCGCTCTCGCTCTCGCTCTCGCTCTCGCTCTCGCTCTCGCTCTCGCTCTCGCTCTCGCTCTCGCTCTCGCTCTCGCTCTGTCACACTCTCGCTCTCTCTCTCTCTCTCTCTCCTCTCTTTCTCTCTCTATCTTCTATTGGGGGTTGGCTCTTCCCCTTCGTGCTCCTAGGCTTGCGGGAAGGTTTGGGTTCAGCTGTAGGATGTTCCTGCTGTTGCTGGTGGAGGTGCTATTGTTTGCCGCTGCTTTTGCTGGTGTTGTGGTGGTTGCGGTGGTTGTGGTGGTTGTGGTGGTTGTGCTGGTTGCGGTGGTTGTGCTGGTTTTGGTGGCTATTGGTGTTGGGGTTGGTGTGGGTGTTGGTGTTCGGTGGTGGCTGCAGAAGGTTTCTTTGGGCTTGGGCCGGGTTGGGGCAAACGTCATGCTGCAGGTTCGGCGTTACTTCGAGGAATGTGTTCGATCTCCAACTGGCCGAGGTGGCAGTTCGAAGGAGCGGCAGGGTGACGGCCCTCAATCCCTAAAAAATCCTAACCCCCGAAAGCCCCAACTGCTGGACATGTTCTCGGGGGGCAGTTTTTGGGCGAGGCGCTTGGCCTTGGGGTTTGTGTGGACAGTAGAGCCACAGCTTTTCCAGAGTCCCTACACCCTAAACCCTAAACCCTAAACCCTAAACCCTAAACCCTAAACCCTAAGCCCTAAGCCCTAAGCCCTAAGCCCTAAGCCCTAAACCCTAAACCCTAAACCCTAAACCCTTTTCAGAGGTCAGGTTCCCTTGGAAACCCATTGGTACTCGGGTTATTGGAAAACCTTAACGCCCAGAAACTTCGAAAGCTGGCTAAAGGGAGACCATCCTGAACTTAGGCAAGCCGAGCCCTCTGGTTTAGGGTTTAGGGTTTAGGGTTTAGGGTTTAGGGTTTAGGGTCGGTTTATTGTTTGGGGGTAAGGGTTTAGTTCAATTTGGGTGTAGGGTCTATGCCCCTGGAGCCTGGAATTCAGCACCAGGCCGAAAACAATCACTGAAATCCGAAGCCCGACATCCGAACCCCCTGAAGTCCTAAACCCTGGACCTACAACCCACTATCAAATATCGCGTCAAGCACCTCACCCAGCAGGGCCCTCTTCAGGATAAGCTTGATAAAGCAAGCTTATCCGGGATCACGAAAGCTCAAAACCGAGTAAACCCTAAACCCCAAACCCTAAAAGCCCCAGACCTTCACCCACAAGATCAACGCTGCAGGAGTCAAGGTATGTCAGTGAAGTACGTGGTGGGTCTTCAGAAGCGATCCGGCTTTAGGGTTTTGGGGGTGGGGGGTTGATCATTTTTAGGGTTTAGGGCTGAATTTCTTTTAGTTTTTTGAATTTTTTTTTGGGGGGGGGGGGGGGGGGGGGGGGAGGGGGTTAGGGCACATGATAGTGAAGGTGTAAGGCTGCGGCTTTGGTAAGAGATCGGCTTTCAGAAGCAAGGCAGGAGATATCTTGCTCGCAGAGGTTGGAATAGGAAATCTCGTTGAGGGCGACCTTCCGTATTTGGGCGTGACCAGGGTCCAGGTTTCAACCAGGTAGGGGCTCAAAACAGCCAGGTCTCATCGCGCTAGGCTGATTTTGGAGTCCGGTGGGCGGGAGTTTAACCGGGACTTCGAGGCAACCCCAAAGTGCAAGGGGGATTTGGGGCCTGCACACTTGAGACCCACCGAACAAAGACCCTTCCCTCTTCTCCCGGGTCAGCAGCCCTAAACGAATGCAAGACAAGCAGTTCCCTTGGCATCAAAGCCTGAATTCTGAAATCCTGAAGATCGTTCACCTTGAACCCCTGAGTTTCAAGCCCTTCTATGCAGGTGCCTTCAACAGTCAGGGTTGCTGACTGACGACCAGGTCCAGTGCGCGTCGGACATTGACATGAGGGCTACTTTGTTGCGAAGCCAGTATATGACATACTACAAAATGTGTAACGTCAGTATCATATTGGTATAAATAGACAATGAAACGGTTTTTTCGAGCTTTTTGGTTTTTGGATTTCATCCCTCAACCCCCTAGAAAGCTGGGTGCAAATAAGGCGAAGAGCTTGTTCGAGCCGAAGCCTCTCAGCTGTATATTTCTGGGGGCAGCTGAAGGGATGCTTGGGGAGGTTGCCAGCTTCTGGTTTCCCATGTTGAGGGTGCAGGGTTTAGGGTTCAGGGGCGACAAGTCCGAAGGACATATACAAGGCAATTCGATGGCAACTCCCACACCCTAAAACCTTTGCCCCAAGGTGGGATTGTGGTCGAGGGAGTGTCGGTGCTTTCAATGTCCGAGCTCTGTGCTCACAACATGCTCATGACAAGTACATGGGGAAGTACATGTATTACATACGCACAGGTATGCATGCATGCATGCATGTATGTATGTATGTATGTATGTATATACATACGTGTGCGTGTATGTGTGTTTATATGTATATATATATACACACCTATGTAGAGATGTATATATCTAGTATATTCACAAGAATTTGCACATATCTGTGCACATACATGACATGCGCTTATTCATGCATGCGGAAATGGTAGCGACGCGATTTGCGTCTGCTGAGATATGGTGGCCGCTACGAGACCTTCCAGGAGCGCCCCTTGAGGGATGTGATCTTGATGTACGCGGCCCATGACTCAAGGTGGGAGCTTCAGTGCAGTTCGGGCTCTGGGGCTGTTAAGGTTTAGGGCTCTAGGGTTTTCGGGTGCAGCGTCATGGGGTGCCTGCTCTGGTACTTGTCCCTCGTGATAATAAGCCCATGGAGTCGTTAACTTAGTTGGTTGAAGATGTACGTAACACAGTTCCATAGAACAGTCTACGACGACAAATCATCAGGAATTAGCTAACTGGAAGGAGGCTGCGTCAAAGAGTGCGTCGTTTCCCATCCCCCCTCCGCCCACTCTGCTTCGAATCTTTATATATATATATATATATATATGCTCACCCCCCCCCCCTCGACAGACCCCGGAAGCAAAAAAAGGGCTGAGGGCGCGACGGACAGCATAGCTGCACACAGTAGCCAGACACGTTAACACACAATAGAGCATATTTTTTTCGATTAGTACGGTTTTGTGTTCGCAATGAAAGATGCAGACAGATGTGAGAAGGACGCATGCTGTAAGGACCTGAACAATTTGCTCGACATCGTGGATTGCTATTAATTTTAATAAGATTGCTCTTAGTTTTACTTGGGTTCCTATTAAGTTTATTAGGATTCATAGGCTTCGTATGAGTTCAATAGGAATCCTATTTAAATCAATAGGAACCCCATTAAAATGAATGAGAACCCTATTGAAATTAAGACGAGTCTTTTTTGAAAACTTAGTAAGAATCCTAGTACAATTAATAAGAACCTGGTTGAAATACGTAGAAGCTCCTATTAAAATTTCTTGGCGTCCTAAATTCAGAGGAACCATAGGAAGGCCATTCAAATGAATAGGAACCCTTTTGAATTCATAGGAATGCTATTAAAATTAATAGGAACCCTACAAAAGAATCTATGAATTCTTTTTAAGAGTAACAGGAATCCGTGTAACATGAAGATGAATCCTATTAAAGGATTAAGAGGAGCCAATAAAATTCTATAAAAAAAGTAATGTGGACCCTTCAAAACTGAAAACAATAAGAGTCGTACTGTTAGAATTATAAAAAACCCTATTAAAACATTTAATTAACAGGATTGCTAATAAAACAAATGAGAGTTACAATAACATTACTTCGAGTCCAATTGAAATAAATAGGGAACAGGATTTAAAAACATAATCGGAGCACTGTGGAATCTAGTAGGAAGCCTATGAACATTATTAAGAATCCTGTCAACATGAATGAGAAACCCTGTTAAAATGAATACGAAGCCTATTCCAATTAATCAGAAGCCTTTTTAAATGAATAGGAAGCTTGCCAAAGCAAAAGGGACCCAATTAGAAATTGTAAGACATCTTATGAAAATGAATAAGAAGCCTATTGAAATTAACAGGAATATGTATAAAATTTTGTTATGAAGCTTATTAAAATTCTAAGACTTTTATTAAAACAACTAGGAAGAAGAATGCTATTACAATTACTCAGAATCGTATTCCAATTATGTGGCATTTGATTAAACTGAATAGGAATCAATATTAAACCCAAAAAAGTCCTTTAACAGGCATCCTTTAAAATCAAATACGAACCCCATTAAACAAATACAGGAATCCCATTGCCATTGAAGATCACTTAGAATGCTAGTAAAATGATTAGGAGTCTTATTAATTAAATAAGGACTCCCGTCAAAGTGAACAGGAGTATTATTAAATTTAATACTAAAACATAATAAGGAATCATATAAGAACCCCTGAAAAACTCTGATCAAAAAGCCAGTTTCTAAAAATCCAAAAATCCAAACATCCAAACATCCACCCCAAAGGTTTGGATTTTTGGAAACTCGAGCGGGAGCCTCAAAATCCAAAAATCGAGCAAATTCCTCGAGTTTCAAAAATTCCAAAACTCCAAAAAATCCACCCCAAGGTTTGGAATTTTGGAAACTCGAGGAATTTGCTCAAAATCCAAAAAAAACCAAAATTCCTCGAGTTTCCAAAAATCCAAAAATCCAAAAATCCCAACCCCAGTTTCGGAGTTTTGGAAACTCGAGGAATTTGCTCAAAATCCAAAAAAACCCAAAATTCCTCGAGTTTCCAAAATTCCCAAAATCCAAAAATCCCAACCCCAGTTTCGGATTTTTGGAAACTCGAGGAATTTGCTCAAAATCCAAAAGCACCAAAATTCCTCGAGTTTCCAAAAATCCCAGAAATCCAAAAATCCCAACCCCAGTTTCGGGTTTTTGGAAACTCGAGGAATTTGCTCAAAATCCAAAAAAACCCAAAATTCACCGAGTTTCCAAAAATCCGAAACTGGGGTTGGGATTTTTGGATTTTTGGAATTTTGGAAACTCGAGGAATTTTGGGTTTTTTTGGATTTTGAGCAAATTCCTCGAGTTTCCAAAAATCCGAAACTGGGGTTGGAGTTTTTGGATTTTTGGAATTTTGGAAACTCGAGGAATTTGGGGTTTTTTGAATTTCGAGGCTCCCGCTCGAGTTTCTAAAAATCCAAACCTTGGGGTGGAATTTTTGGATTTTGGGAATTTTGGAAACTCGAGGAATTTTGGGTTTTTTGGATTTTGAGCAAATTCCTCGAGTTTCCAAAAATCCGAAACTGGGGTTGGGGTTTTTGGATTTTTGGAATTTTGGAAACTCGAGGAATTTTGGGTTTTTTTGGATTTTGAGCAAATTCCTCGAATTTCCAAAAATCCGAAACTTGGGTTGGGATTTTTGGATTTTTGGATTTTTGGAAACTCAGGTTTTGGTAAGATTCTTTTAGGGGTTCTACACTCATGAGAAATATGAAATATATTAAAAACACAGAGAGCTATGCTAGCAACAGCTACTGGAGTTGCTTACGGAAGTGCGAGGAAAAGTGCCCCCCCGCCCCCTTCCTGAACAGACCGGAAATATACTTCCGGGGTCTGTCGAGGGGGGGGGGTGACCATATATATATATACATATAAATATGTATATATATATATATATTATATGCATTTTTTTGCGTTTTTTATTTGTGTAGGTATTTACGGGCATTGCCTCTGGATCACGATTCACAGTGGTTTTCCAAGCGATTCGTGAGCCCCAAAAGCCCTTACAACGTTTGGGCCCGCGAGCTTTCTACCTTTCCTATCGCCGGTAATGAATGGCGAATTGCCAGGCGAAGAAAGTGAGCCACGAATCATTTTGCCCACACCACCCTTGGCACCTAATGCAATGCGATTGGACTCATGAATACCGCGTGAAACGGATAAACTTGCATATGCTCTCTTAGTTTTACCGGCGTGTCATGGGGCGCGTGGGCGGAGAGGCAGAGCCCTGTAGACCCTGCAAAACCCTGTAAACCCTGTAAGCCCTGCAGGCCCTATAAACCCAACAAACCCCAAACCCAACCTTAGGGCCCAGGATACAGCCCCAGCAGGTACATGCTCGATCTCTACAACTTCTACATCAGCAAGCTACCGACGGAGTGGCAGCCACGGGTCTTTGCGGGTAGCGCTGAGAGGGCGAGTTGGTTTAAGCAGGAGTACAAGCGTCCGGGCACTGATGCCCCAGATTTCTAGCCGCGCAAAAAGGAAGGGCTCAGGGTTGAGGGTCCGCAAGAGTAGGGCCCGAAAAAGGCCGAAATTGAGTTGAACTTGGCTCTTTTTGCGCTAGGCTTCCTGTAAAGGGGAGGAGACCTTACCGACCCGCTTGTTGGGCCGCGTAGCGGCGTAGAGTTGGAGTGCGGAACCGAACCGTAGGTGGAGGAGGGACCTGTTGGGTTTGGGGAGGTCGGCTTGCTTTGTTCGGGGGCTTGGTCGGTTTAGCTGAGCTTGCCAGACACATGCCTGCCACAGCGGAGCTCAAGACTGCGTGCTGGGGCAGCAGCCGCCTCAGGGGGATAAGAGGGCTGCGGGGTCCCCGGGTGCTTCGTACGATAGGCTCAAACTTCCCTGAGCCCTAAATTCAAGCACTACAGGGGTTCTAGGAGGGCATGGCTTCAATAGTCGAAAGTTGGGACAACAGAGCATGTTGTTTCAAGCCATGCCCACGCCCCTAAGCCCCCGAGCCCTACCCCAAGCCCCTCAACCTCAACCACTAAATCGTATTGAAGAACAAGAAACTCCGTGTTTCTGGGCTTAAACTGACTTCAAATCACCATTCAGCAACACGAGGCTGACCTTTAGTTCCCACGGATTCATCTCTCAAAAATGCAAGGAAACCCAAAGACCCAAGACCCCCAACCCCCCAAGATCCCCAAACCACCCAAACCCTCAGCCCTAAGCCCTAAACCCGCCTGCCACCCCTCTCACCTCTGTTGCGGTAAGGCGGGCGCAGTCGAGCGTTCTGCAAGACCAGGGCAGGATTGCTGGGCCTGAAAATGAGTCCTAAGAGTCGTCTAGCTTTGTCACACGATATACTAGTACTCCCCTAAACCCGACAAACTTGCTGTCGTGAGGTGCCAGGGGTCCGCTTGGGGTGGTTTGGGGTGGTCTGGCTTGAGAGGCCTTCGAAAGTTGGAGGTGCTGCGAGGCGCCTGGGAGCCACTGAAAGGGGCCTAGGCGGCCTAGGAGGCCCCTGGCAAGACTGGGGGCCTGGGAGCAAGCTCAACGCAGAACCTGAACTGTCCTGTCGCTCAGATGCTTTCAGTCAGTCTCCCTCGTAAGACAAAACATCTCACAGTCGATGAGAAGAACAATGAGATCGTTGGCCCTCTGGCCGAAAGACGTCCCGTGGCGCGAAGCCTAAAATCAACCTAAAGTTTCGCTCGGACTTTTCCAGCTGACTTTCGCCATGCACCTTGGCATTCCGGACTCGAGGAGAAAGCTATGAGAAGGCCCTCCAGATGTCCCCCAAAAGCAAAGCCTAAGTTTTCTCCCGGAAGCGACTATTCGCTTGGCTCCGGTTGGTTTCGTTTTGAGTAGTGTTTGGGTGGTCTTGGGGTGGGCATGTTTGCATACTATTGCGCGCTCAGCGCGTGACCTCGCCCAGCACACCCTAAACCCTAAACTGTAAACCCGAAGCTCTGAGCCCGAAGTCCTAAACCCTAAACCCTTGAACCCCAAACTTTGGGAAGCACCGAGGTGGAACTCCTGGACCTCCTGTCAGGATGGGCCGATGAAGTTCCGCTACCGGCGCATCACGAAACAGCCGGCCCGGGGCTTGGATTCAAGGTCTGGGTAGGGTTTAGGGTTTATTGAAATCATTAAAGGGTTCAGGTCCGGGGAAAGTTTCGAGGAGTTTCGAGGAGTTTGTGTTTTGGATTTTTCTTAATAATTTCAAGTTACAGGGGCTTGAGAGTTTAGGGTTTGGAGTTTGGGGTTTGGGGTTTAGGGTTTAGGGTTTAGGGTTTCAGGGTTTCAGGGTTTCAGGGTTTCAGGGTTTCAGGGTTTCAGGGTTTCAGGGTTTAGGGTTTAGGGTTTAGGGTTTAGGGTTCAGGGTTCTGGGGTTTAACTTAACAGGGTTTAACAGGGTCTGGGGTTTAGGGTTGAGGGACTGTGCGCAAATCCCTAGTAGGCCGATAGGTGATGGTGTGTGATGTCTTCATAAGCCCTAAGCCCTAAACCCTAAATTGGCCCCAAATCCCAAACCCTAAGCCCTAATAAAGCTGTTGGGGGCGAGGTGCCCTCCTTGGATTTCAGCCGACCCGAAACCCTAAGACGCCCATAGCCCTAAAAACCTCAACTCCATGCCGCCTGATTCTCAAACCACCAAGCCCCGAAGCCCCTGAGCTGTAGCCTCATACCCGAACCCCCAAAACCTGTAACCCTCAACAATCCTCCTTATTCCTGAAAACCCTCAGCCCCTTAAATCCGAGGCCAACACGGGGTTGCCCTGTGTGGGGTCCTTGCGCGAGGCCACACTGACCTGAGCTTGTGGGTTAGGTGCGGTGTGTTTTTGTGAGCAGGGTTTTTGGGGCGATTGGGAATCAGGGTTGCAGCGTTTTCGTGATTCGGATGTATTTTGGGGGCTAGGGGGCATCAGGGTCGTGGGCTTTTCTTCGGGTTATGTTCTTGGGAGCAATTTGAGGTCTTACCGGGGTTTTGGGGGATTTGGGCTTCGCTTATACCATCTGGCTTAAGGTTCAGGCAGAGGTGTCAGGGACGAAGCCAGCTTCCCCACATCCTAAGCCTCTCCTGAAGACAGTCCCCATGACCCTTGACCGCCTAGTTAACCTCCAAAACCTAACCACCTACACACTAAACGCTCAACCCTATCTATAACCCTAAACCCTAAACCCGAAACCCTAAACCTTAAACCCTAAACCGTCAAGCCCCAAGAACCCAAACCAGCAAATGTCCCTGTGGGAGGTGGTGAGCTGCATGGCCCGGGTCGACTGCGAGGTGGTCTCTGCTCTCCTTTTTGCTGTTGTTAAGGGTTCAGGGGTTCAGGGTTTAGGAGTTTGGAGTTCAGGGTTGAGGGTTTAGGGGTTCAGGGTTTAGGAGTTTGGAGTTTAGGCTTTAGGGTTTAGGGTTCAAGGGTTTAGGATTTGTAGGAGTAGGGCTTCAGGGTTTCCGGATTTTGGAGGAGAGCTTCTCAGAGAGGCAACTAGCGGTCGCCACAGCTGCGTAACTGGTGTGGCCCGCTTCTGGTGGTTTCTTTCTACGCTGTGCAAGTTTACTCGCACAGCCAAGCACATCGTGTATAAGGCATTGCATAGATCGTCTCAGAAGAGCTCCGGCTCTCCTTCAAGGTCGGGTTGAAAGGTGTACCGCGAAACTTCTTGATCTCAACTCCTTCGTGGTTGCGTCCCACCGCCGCCCCCCCCCCCCCCCCCAAAAAAAAAAAAAAAAAAAAGAAGAAAAAAGCGAGCACAAATTCTTGCCCCAGGAACCGACAGCTTATACCCTTGCAACAAAGCAAGCAGGCTCAGCTCCCATTGAGTCTGAGGTCAGCAATGAAACGGCTAATTTCCAAGCCTGCTGTGATCTGTAGGGTTTTTGTTGGGTTCAGGGTTTCGGGTTCAGGAAAGAAAGCCAGCTGCCACAGCTTCCTAAGAAGGTCTCCACCTGGACGGAGTGGGATCAGTGCGACAAGACATGCGGTGGGGGCCAGCAGATGCGCCACCGACAGGCGAGGGGCAGATGTAGGTCTGGAAGATGCTGCATTTGAGAGTTAGGACATGGACGCTTCTGACAATGTCTGTGGGGTTCACCCAGAACCACCCTCCGCCACCCCTCTTTATGGTTGAGGCTTATGGAACTCATCCGATCCTGTTAGGGAGTAGGCTTCTCGCGGAAGCCGGAAAGCAGCGGCCGGGGTTTGTGGAGGACTTGGATCATTGTAACAGCACAGTATGTGTCCCAGGGCACGATCGGAGCTCCGTACTCTTCCGAATGTCATTGGCCTCTCCTTTCATACTGGCTGATCGCAGCTCATGACAGTCTGAGTTGTGTCTCTGTTAGAATGTTTAGAGTGCGGACCCCAAAAAAAAGGGACCACGAGGTATGGTCATTAAAGATTGCAGGCCAAAGGCTTGCAATTCGAACTTCGCCTCCTCTTTGTGCTGTGCAGGTCACCCGAAACCCTACGAACGGTGGAAAGCCCTGCCCCGTGACGCTTATCGAGACGCAAGGCGGGTTCAGGGCGTGTTTTTGGAGGGCCGCTTTGGGGCGGTGTGTAGGTACGGGACTCCCACCCTGGTGGGTGAGGACAACCCCCACGCGTCATCTAGGGGTCGGGAGTTATTAGTAATCGTGTTCCCTTATGGTCCGCATATAAGTAGACTATCATCACCCCCAAAACCCTATTCTAATTATTAAGGCCCCCCATGTGTCGTGTAGACATCCAGACGTTCGAAACGACTCACAGGCTGTGCTTTAGATCCATGCCGCCGCCGGGACTGCACCGCCAGGAGCCCACAGAAGCTGTGGTCGAAGCTTATGCTTAAGGGTTTAAAGGGTTTAAAGGGTTGAGGGTTTGGGGTCGAGGGTTTTAAGGGTTTGAAGGGTTTTAAGGGTTTAGGGCATGTGCAGAAATATCCAAAATCTTCTGCAATCCTGGGATTCCGTTCACATCGACAGTTGGATCTGGAAGCTCGACGCAGACTCTGTTGATTGCCCGAGGTCTTTCAGTGGAGTGAGTGGTCCGGCTGCAGCTCCTCGGCCGAAACGGGTTTAGGGCTTAGGGTCGGTGGTTGGAGGTTTGGCATTCGGTGTGAGGGTTTACATCGATCGGTCCAAGGCTCCAGTAAGTTGGTGATATTGTTGCCACGTGTCTCTGGCTTGAAGGCTCATAGAATATCACATCCTCTAGACCTCGACTTCACACAACGATCCCCTTCGAACACCAGGATGGACTGCATTCGAGACCCTCAACGGTCAACCCCTCAAACCCCTAAGACCATGGCATTCTAGACCACAAAAGCCCTAGACTTCCCGAAGCCCAACCCTTGTCCCCCCCCCCAACCCTGTAAACCCTCCTAAACCCTAAACCCTAAACCCTCCCAAGCCCCAGGGCCCCCACAAAAATTTCCATAGCCGAAGTCCATGCACCCGCGCAGGTTCTTCTTGCGGCGTTGGCTACCGGACCGGCTTTTTGGGCCTTCAGGTTTCAATTCCCTAGCACACCCTCGGGTTCG